AAACAAATTGAAGAAGTTGTGCAGAAATGTGCAGTGTGCAACAAACACAAAAACAACAATCCCAGAGAGCCCTTGACACCTCATCCAGTTCCTTTAAGAGCATGGTCAAAAGTTGGAATGGATCTCTTCCATTTCAATAATGCAGAGTACATCATGTGTGTCGACTACTACTCAAAGTACCCAGAGATTTCAAAATTAAGTGGTACTACAAGCAAGCACATCATTAAGGCACTAAAGTCTGTTTTTGCCAGACATGGTGTACCTGATGAACTGTTTTCTGACAATGGGAGACAGCTGATAAGTGCAGAAGTGCGAGACTTTGCAACCAGCTGGGAGTTCAAACACTCTACCTTGAGTCCAGAGTTTCCACAGTCAAATGGGCAAGCCGAGAGAGCTATACAAACAGTGAAGAATCTGCTGAAAAAAGCACAGGAAAGTCTCAAAGACCCATACATTGCTCTTTTGGAGTACAGAAACACGCCTTTGGAAGGAGTAGGCTACTCACCTGCGCAGCTGCTTATGGGAAGGAGGCTGAAGACAAAACTACCTGTGTCAAGGAACCTGTTAAAGCCAGGAGTGTACAGACATGTACGGCACAGACTGATGAGCAGACAAAAGAAGCAGAAACGCGAAGGAGAAAGAATAAGAGTCAGACAGCAGAACCAATGGCAACCTGCTGTCATACTGAAGAGACATGATCAGCCAAGGTCGTACATAGTACAGACTGACAATGGGCAAATCTACAGAAGGAACAGGAGACACATTCTGAAAACCAAGGAAACCGCAAGTTCCCCACAACAAGCACAACACGAGACTGTTGAAAGTGGTCACGATTCTTTGCCACTGATGGAGAGCGGACAGCAGCCAGCAGGAACTGAACCAGAACAGAGTGACTACCAAGAAAGTCACATGCCTGCAGGGTCTCTACCACAAACACCAGAGTCATCAGTGATAAAAGAGTCAGTGAGCACTGATAATCATGCAAAAACCTCACATTTTGGTAGACCTATAAGAGTTCCCTTTAGGTATCGGGAGTAATAGCTGAAACTGTGTTCTTTTAAGTTCTAACCTGTTTTACTGAGAAAAAAAAAAAAATCTGAAGAAAGGGAGATGTTATGTATTATGTTGTAGTACTGGAGTTACCACTAGGTGGTGCTGTAAGAATACAAGTGCTGTGCTGTATATGTTGAAGCTGCACGAGTAAACACTGTTCAGTCTGATTCAAGCCGTCTCCTCCTTGAGTCCTATATATTACAGGGACTGTTCTTCACTTATGAAGGGACTGTTCTTTACTTGTCAGGGGAGGAGGGTGGCTGGTTGAATTTTATATTATTTATTTATTTTATTTTGATCCCCCTTATGTTCATCACTTATTGATGCTGTTTTTGAAGTATGAATAAGTCAATAAGTAATTTATTCCATTGAAATATCATTGATGTATTATAGAAAAGTGATTTATCTTTTTATGAAAGACAAAAGGCACATCTGCCTCATTTTTGCTGTGGTATAGTGATACTACTCAGAACTGTGATACTTTCACTGGTATTGTACTGTGGGTCCCAATTTTGGTACGGTGACAACACTAGATGTCACAACCATTCCATTCGGAGTCGCACAGTGAGGCGGCTCGGGTGCCGCTTAAAAAAGTGTTCCCCTACTTCTAATTTTACAAATTAAGCACTGATATTAAAGCCGCTACAAGGAACTGTTAACTGGATATGCAAAAGTCTCTCGTTTCTGCTGATGTCTGTGCGTGACCTACAACAGCAAATGAGACCATCAGTGTGAAGATAAGCTATTTCTATATAGTATATATCCATACCTTTAGGAAACTGTGTACGGGTCCGCCGCAGCTCGCTTCCAGGACGAAGCGATTTACGGCACTCAGACGGCACACTTCATCTTACCTAGCTGCTTACATTTATAGTGACTCTTATAAATAGTCGCCATTCCTCCTCCTCGACCTGACGTCCGCGGGGAGTTAATATAGCAGCAATCATCGGGTAAAAGTTCTGTGAAAGCACTGGACTCACCAGCAGTCAGCCACGTCTCAGTCACACAGAGAAAACACAATCATCGGGAAGTCAGGAAATCCTTCCGGATAAACGTTTTGTTCGCTAGCGATCTAGCATTTACCAGCCCAATCCTGGCAGCAGCCGGCAGGTCCACGGCATTAGCTGTCCGGGGAGCCACACACAGAGGCCGCAGGTTGCGCAGATTCACCCCGCGCCAGCGGGGACGAGGAGAGCAGGGGCCGCGGGGCTGGAACACCTCATCTGGGCTGACGACAGGTACCAGCCAGGCGTCGACAGGGTCCAGCGAGTGCCAAGAAATAAAGAGGCGAGGCACCGCTCCATACCGTCGCCAAACAGGCCTTCAGCCTTACCAGCCGACCGCTGCGTTTACCCCGGCGGCAGTGGCGCTTACGCCGGAGAGGTGGAGCTGGGGCGCGGCAGAGGTGAGCTGGGATCCCTGATAGGAGCGGGGGCAAAGTTTTCCCGTCTTGTTGTTTCATTCATCCCCAAAACAAACGCATAACGGTAAGCGTCTTTACGACAATCCGCGCTAGAGCTCATGGGAAATGTAGGCTTCATTCCGGCAAAACACTACCGCTTTTGTCCACAGGGTCGCCAAAATCAACTCAAAATTAAAGTTCCTTGTAGGGCCTTTAACTTTATTTACAATGAAGCTTGATTCTGCACTTAGCCCGTATGTGAATGTTTACTGTTGCTATGGCAACAAGTGACAGCTGACGTTAGCGTTAGTTAGCTTAGCTCAATCGTCCGACAAACAATAACCCATAAAATTATAAATCAACATATTTAAACAAAATCAACAACAGCTACCAACAGTTACAGTCCTTACAACCTTAGCTAATGTGTTGTCACAGGTTAGATTGTCAAGATTAAAGTAATAACAGCTTAAATCCCTGAGGAACTACGCTAGCATTAGTGACGGTTGCATCCACTCATATGCAGTTACCTTACGTTACAGTTCCCTCAAACAATATCACAAAGCACAATACAAACTATATAAACAAATTATCTATTAAGTGTACACTACTGATAAAATCTGAAGGTGCTTAGGTGACATTTACCCACCTGAAAGAATAAATGAAAATAAACGGTGATTTTGCTGGTCTTCAGTAGCTTTACTCTAGGTATAACTGCCAACTGAAGAACGCAACGCAAACCAACTGTTTATATACCCAGATTTGCTCTTGTGCCTTTACTCAAAATCAGTTGTGCTTTAAATTGGGGCGGCAGTAGCTCAGTCCATAGGGACTTGGGTTGGGAACCGGAGGGTCGCCTGTTGGAGTCCCCGTCCAGACCAAATATGGAGCGTGGACTGGTGGCTGGAGTGGTGCCAGTTCACCTCCTGGGCACTGCCGAGGTGCCCTTGAGCAAGGCACTGAACCCCCAACCACTCAGGGCGCCTGACCAAGGTCAGCCGCCTCACTCTGACATCTCTCCACTTTGTGCATGTATAGGTCCTGTTTGTGCATGTGTGTGTCTTTCGGACCTGTGTGTAATTGACAGCAAGAGTGAAAACATTGAATTTCCCCATCAGGGGGATTAATAAAGTATATAAAATTAGAAAATTAAATTTAAAAAAAAATGAATTAAAAATTGAATGGGGGGCATCTGTATGGTATCTGTAAAGATACAAAATCGATATCATATGCATAAAATTTTGTCACAATTGAGTGGGCAGATACACATATACCCTATATGTCACACTAACTTTATTTGTGAGCATGCTATCTGCTCTCTTTGGATGGCATATCCAGCTGCTCAACCTAACAAAGGAGGCGGCACCTGTTGCTAGCTACCCCAACTACACTACCACGAAAGCAGCAACGCACCTGCTAATGGAGGTTCTTGATCTGGCCAGGTCAGACCTCTGTTGGCAGACCCGTCACTGCTTTTGTGGAAGTGTAGTTGGTCGTTCAGGCGCCTCTGCTGTTGAATTAGGTCGCGCTATTTTTGTGGATCGGGTTGTTTTTATTTTCTGCACTTCCCTATTCCGGTATTGACTCTGACTTCTGATTGGTTAAAATGGCCTTTCCGTTAGAAGTTACATCGCCACCTACTGCTTTGCCATTTGTATTACATCACTTGGTAGTGGGTTTTGCGGTTTCATGTGGATATCATATATTTTTATCACACCACTCGTGGACGATTTTTTTTTTGGAAACCGGAGCCCAAAAAACTTAGGTTTCAGAATTGATTTTCGCCACAGCTCCTGCACTGAATTCCCCGTGAACTACAGAACTCAGAACATGTTGCTTTGCAAGCGTACTAGGCTGATGAGTAGAATTTAAGAAACAGGCTAAATGACATGATGTTGCACAATCCTGTACAGTAGGTGGCGGTATGCACCTTTAAATTGTTTGCAATCCGCCAATAAACCGAGAGAAGAAGAAAAAAAATGCTTTGCAAGCTGTCATTCCGATTGAGACTGGCCAATAGAGATGTGTCTTACAGCTTTCAGTTTAGGCCCCGCTCACCAGGTTCAACTTTTTACTCGCAAAACTTTTTGACTTGCAAACGACAAAAAATGACTCGCAAACAAAACTTTAGGATTTGCATTTTTTAATCAATCATTTTTTAAATAAAAAAAAAAAATTTTTAAATAAAAAAATAAAAAATTTAAAAAAAAAAAATTTTTTTTGATTGCAAAACCTACTCTGTTTGATTGAATAATAAAGAAACAAATGTAGCTCCATAATATTACCTGAAACCTGCACCCTGAGCACACTTTTAATAATAATTTTAATAACTGCCTCCAATAACTCTTTTAATGTGCATGTGTCTTTTCACTTTTTTTGTATTTGACAGTTTTCAACCTCCATCCTGTTGAGTTCAGGTGTTTTAATTTTCCACTTTCTAAACTTCTTCATTCTAAACTTTCTTCAGCTCTGAATACATTATTAAACACTGAATGATCTCAAGCAGGAACATTATCTTCTAAAGTGACATCATTTATTCTTTATTCAGATTAAATTCCTGCTGGTTGTCAGAGATCAGCAGTGATTCCCTGGCCTCAGCTCTGAAGTCCAATACCCATCTGAGAGAGCTGGAGCTTAGCAACAACAGGCTGCAGGATTCAGGAGTGGAGCTGCTGTGTGATTTTTTGGAGAGTCCACACTGTAGACTGGAGACTCTGAGGTCAGTTCACTGACTGTCTGTTACATCCATAACACACACACCCACATCCAAAACTTACATTTCCATTTGATTATGATTTAATTTTTCTTGTATAAATGTATCTGCAGTCACAACAGATGTCCACTGTTAGTTGTTACAGTAAATTTCTGTTTATAATGTTTGGTCAATGGGAAGATCTGAACTAATCAGTTTTAAACTGATAAAGTTTACATGCTGAAGTAGAAATCTTTTTTTGTTTTAAATGTGTAGGTCAGCATTTTTATGTCCTAAATATGGTTTGATCTCTCTCTCTCTCTCTCTCTCTCTCTCTCTCAGATTGTGGAGCTGCAGTTTGTCAGAGATCAGCTGTAGTTCTCTGGCCTCAGCTCTAAATTCCAACCCCTCCCATCTGAGAGAGCTGCAGCTGAACGGAAACAAGCTACAGGATTCAGGAGTGAAGCTGCTGTGTGATTTTCTGGAAAGTCCACACTGTAGACTGGAGACTCTTGGGTCAGTTCACTGACAGTTACTGTTTTAGATGTTATATATTTAATTAACTATTGGATCTAATTTATGTGCATACATAACTTACATCCCTCATTTTTTCATTTTTCTTGTATAAACGGTCTTCTGTGTCTTAAAGAAACTGTTGAAAATGTGAACTGTTAGTTGTAAATTTCTGTTTATAATTTTTGGTAAATGGTCACATCTGTACACAGAAGATCCCCTGAAGTAACATTTGTTTTTAATTCATAAAGTTCACATGCTGAAGTAGAAATAATTTTGTGGTTTCTGTTAATTTCAGTGTGTTTTCACAAGCGTCTGATCATTGATATTGATCCTCCAGAACGCACATACACACACACACACTCACACACGCACAGAGAGCGAGAGCAAGAGCGCGCGCGCGGAGAGAGAGAGAGGGAGAGAGAGAGAGAGAGAGAGAGAGAGAGAGAGAGAGAGAGAGAGATCAAACCATATTTAGGACATAGTAATGTTGGCCTACACATTTAAAACCTAAACACATCTGATAGGGTTATTATTGACTTTTGACTACATCTTTTATTGTTTATTCAGTTTGAGGTACTGCTGGTTGTCAGAGATCAGCTGTGTTTCTCTGGCATCAGCTCTGAAGTCCAACCCCTCCCATCTGAGAGAGCTGGAGCTGAGAGGAAACAACCTGCAGGATTCAGATGTGAAGCCACTGTGTGATCTTGTGGAGAGTAATCACTATAGACTGGAGACTCTGAGGTCAGTAGAGGGTTGGAGTCAGTTCATGCTGGTTTCAGCAGTATTGTACCAAACACAGTTTGTATAACAGTATTTCCTGTAAACCTCCTCCCTTCTCAGTGCTGTGAGAGGAGAATGGTGACAGGCTGTAGGATTGGACAGAAAGACAGAGAGGACAGCAACACAAGTTGATGGCAGCTTGTGATGTTTTTCTTTAAATGGGCATCTGCTACAGTCACACTGCTACATGTAGCTACATGTGTGTAATGTCAAAGAAACATGTAATCTTGGTCACCAATGTTGTGACTTTATCGCAGATTTCAGATCATAATCCTGCTGGAACATGTTTGGTTGTGTTTAGAAGTTTTTATTGATGATTTTTCATTGTAGAAAGTGACGCTATTTTCCATTATTAGCAATTATTTTCCAGCTGACCAATCAGAGCAGACAGAGCTCTTCAGGAAGGAGGCTTAAAAAGACAGGCACTAAAATGTTTCAGACAGAAGGTGAATACAGGTGTTCCAGCACAGACAGCATTAGGAAAATAAACATGTTCAAGTAGAAACCTTAAATACAAGTATGAACCTGAACATAAGCATAACAGATCCTCTTTAAAGTGTTTGTTCTCCTCATCTCTGTCACTGTCACATTTAGTAACCATGTGGTCTTTATACAGAGCAGAACCTCTGCTGAAGTCCAGTAATCACAGCTGGCATGTTGCTGTTCAGTCTTTGTATCAACAAATTCAAATGATATCAATTCTACAACAGACTCAGTCATTCAAGTGAATCTCTGTTTGATGATGTGTTCAGGACTCTCTGCAGTTTATTTCTACTGTGCACTTCAGTGAAATCTGCAGAGTAAATAGACTTGATGCCTAAAGTCTCTGCAGGTCCGCAAGCCTCCAGCTCAGTGTGTTCTCTCCAACATGTTAGACCTGAAAGGAACCTGGCTACGCTACACAGCTGCTCCACTTCTGGTCTGAACAGGACTGAAGTCCCTGCTGGTCTTTATACTGGATGTGCAATGTCCTTGACTGACAGCTGATTTATGACTAATGTTGTCTGTCTTTTTCTCTCATCAGCTGGAGGTGATTTCTGTCAAAGTGATCAGCACGATGGATGTGAGAGGTTAAAGCAGCTGCATCAGTTTGTGTGTGGAGAGACTCTGACTGGACCATATTACTTGGAGGTAGAGTGGAGATGACTCTCAGTGCTATAGTCTGAACTGCTCTGAGATCAGCTCCACTGTCAAGTCCACCATCATCCCTGTGTATTCCTCTGGATCTGACAGAGTATCATTGACTGCTCTGTTCTTCAACACTTCACTTGTTCTGCTCCACACTCAGCCACCTCCTCCACCCTCCACCTGGACATGAGTCTGGATTTTGTAGATAGATATACTGAATCTGACTCTGTAGATTTCTACTGTTTATGACAACATCACAGTAAATTTACAGTCATTTAAACGGCACTCAGGCTGCTCAGATTACAGTGAAATAGTGTAAAGTCTGTGAATGTCTCTGTATTGTTTTGTGTTGCACCTCCACACTGTGGAATGATGGAGAACTGCTGTTCATGTTCACATGATCCTCCTGTTGGAGGTTGATGTCAGGATGCAGAAGTCTGCAACTACATTTAATCATATTGATCACTGAGATTATATTTCTGTATATATGGTCTTTTTGTTTCTGCATATGTATGTTCCTATTTTATTTGAATAATATATTCTGTAGCAGAGTGCATCAATTTTTGAGCCATGGTGGTTTTATATTTGTAAAACTTCCTTTAAAAATCTGTGACGACATCACAGTGTAAAGTCAATGAGCTAAGAAGGAACTTGAGGGCGGGGCCAGTAAGAGAAACATTACAACGCATAATCCATACATCTCGTTACTTATAGTGGAGTATTGCTGCTTTTGGCCTCATATTCATTCTCTACAACGTCACGTTGTAGCAGGGTTCAGATAGCTGTCGTGTTGGTGGATTCGTCTTATGCAAGTGGTGGTTGCGGTCTGTAGGTGCATGTCATGTAGGCTCCTAATGATATGTGGCTGCAGTTATACATGTCTCACCTCAAGACCCCAGGAACGCCATCCAGCATTGCACCCAATTTTTTTCAAGTTGCCACTTGAGGTATTGCAACAAAACATCCCCTGCAGCCCAAAAAACATATTTCCCCACAGACAATTACTTCTGTCTTTATTGAAACTTCCATATTCGTGAGAACAGATGAAGTTGTGACAGTACTGTTAGACAATATCTATTATAAAAGTACTAAATAACACCATAGGAACGACACTGCAAAATAAAGTCAGACTTGGTACCTTAATATTGCATTTAATCTACTTGTATGGACTTTCTACTGATACTGACTGAGGCAAAGGTGATGGTGGTGATGACGGTGATGATGATGATGATGATGATGATGATGATGATGATGATGATGATGATTTTTCATTTTTTTATTTTACCAAGGTTATGATGATGTCATATTTAATGTCAAATTATTGTTGTTTAGCATGTCAAACAAACAAATATGTTTGTTTTATGTTTTTTTGTGTTGTTTTTTTGCCGGAGACAAAGAATCTAGTCTAAATTGTGTTTAATTTTCCTTTTGGTAAAATGCACTGTATATGATGAAATTAGAAGTCAAATATCCTGAGAATAGTAATCAAACCCTTCTCCCTATCCTTTCACTGTGCATGTAGCCTGGATCCAACGTGCTAAATGTATCACACATCTACACCGAGTAATGTCTGTCTAAATTACACCAACATGGCAATCATGTAAGCAGAGCTCAGATTGGCTTTTTTATTGAATACTGACCTGGCGTTAGCTAAGGTTACCTCTTGGGATCCACATTCACAGCTTAGTAATATGCACACTGATTCTAAAAGGGCCAACATGCCTGAACATGTGGTCAGTAAGAAGAGCCATCGGAAAAACCAGAAGCTTTGAGTTCACTCTCTGTGTGTATAAAGGATGGTTAATTGCATGCAGGACCTTTGGTCTTGATAACCCTACTACAAAGAGGTCACACCATAAATTAAACAGTCTTGCTTTGCCTGTAGTTACTGTGCTAACATTAGCTATGCTAAGTTATTACACAGGGCTGCCAACTTTTGACTTCAACTTGGAGTGAGATTTGTTCAAAAAACATGTAATTTAAAACAATTTTCCTGCATTTCTACACCACCTAACCTCTTGGATTAAGACAAGACAGAGCAACCATGTATAATGTTAACCAAAAATGTAAAATTGTAGATTTCAGCATTGAGGTAGTTACATAAATAATCCAGACTAAAATCCATGGCCCCGAGTGTCTGTCGCTAGTGCGCATCTTAATGTGTCGGGGAGTGAGGTTTTACGCACTGCACTGTCTGCTGGCTACCGCTACACATAGGCATGCCAACCTAAAAACCTATTATTGGAAATCCTGAGAAAGCGACAGAGACACAAAGCATTCCCGTAACCATAGTAACTCACTCACTCCTGCCTGTGTGCGCACGGCATGAGAGGAGAGGAAGAGACGCTGACTGAGATTACTCAGAGCAGCATGCATGGGAATAAATTACAATATAATAGATATCTGTATATTTCCTGCTTTCCCCCTGATGACCGGAATAACATGGTGCTGCTGCTGCGTTTTGCTGCTCTGTCTTGTCTGTCCGTGCGCTGTCAGTATCCTCTTTTCACGCCACGACGTTATCAGTCATGAATTTAGTTTTCACTGCGTGAGAAAATGGACATGTGGAGTGAGAGCGTGTGAAAAGTGTCAGTTGCGTGGGTCTCACGGTCAATGCGTGAGAGTTGGCAGCTCTGGTTATTACATTACCAGTCCATGATTGGAGGGGGAAAAGATGCTGTAGCTCATTGCTTTTGTCAACCTGTGGTTGTCAGTTGCGGATGATTCTGGTGTAGAAGAACTGTGGTTCCAGTGCAGTCTTTGCTGTGCTACACTCCAAAGAAGCAGGTAAGAAGAAAATGGTTGCTCTTTGTCTTTACAGAGTTAGAAGTTTGGCACTAACCCAGCTGTGTTTGTCCTGTTGCTTTTGAAATTAGCTTGCATACTTTGTGTCTGCTGCAGGTGCTAACTTGTCTCGTCTCGTTAACCATTTGGATGAGTCCTGTATTTGCTTCGAGCGGGCCACATGGTGACCAGAGAGTATTTTCTGCTGTTAGCGGAAAGGTGAGAAAAAAAGTGGAGGAAGGGCAGATATAGATATAAACGGCTCATTCTAAAGAAACAGAAACAATAATTATTCTTTCAGCTAATTATACACTAAAGAAAACATACTTCTGTTCCATTTCTGCCAATATATCCCTCTAAATCCTACATACTGGAGCTTTTAAAAAAATTTTGAATTTAGTGAGTGAAAGACTGGCAGGAACACAGTCCTGAGAAAGTTATAGGTAGAGTGAGAAGTTTTGAGTGATGTGTCAGTCTCTAACATGCCCATCAATGTGGAGGAAAATTAATCAAAAGGCATGTTTGATGTGCACATAAGCAACAGGGGGTTCTGTGGTTATTTTACAACAGTCTGAACCTTGTTGCATAAAACCAGGATATTTGCTGTGTGCAATAGTGCTTCGACAGTGCACATCACTCCAGTCAGAGAGTGCAGATGGAACAGACACCTGCTGCCTTTTGTGTTTCAGATGGCTGTAAAGAGTCTCCAGTGTAAAGGAAGGGCATTCAGTACACAGTACAAGGAAAAGAAATGTTGTGAGAGTGTGAATGGCCTGAGGGAAGAATGAGTCTGGTGGTCCGAGTTTGTAATGAGCTGTAGCGCCTGCCTGAGGGCAGGGGGTTAAACAGGTGGTGACTAGGTTGACAGCATTCTTTAACTATGTTTTGGGCTCTTGAGAGATAGTGTGTGTTTGCAATGTCTTGGAGTGAGGGAAGAGGACAGCCGAGACTTTTTTGGGCTGTATTTATAACCCTCTAAAAAGCTTTTTTGTCTGCAGCCAGCGTACCGAACTGTGAGGCAGTATGTTAAAACGCTCTATTGTGGAGCAGTAGGTCAGATTATTTTTCTTCAGGATTCTCAGGAGGTGCAGATGCTGCTGTGCTGTGCCTTCTTGCAGTGGTGTTGGTGGACCAGGAGAGATTGTCTGACATGTGGATTCCCTGGAATCTGAAGCTGATATAGCTGAGTATATTACTGATTTGCCACAGAACAAAATCCTTAGGAAGGATTTTCCGAAGCATCCTAAGCTTTTCCATTGGTCATATGGAAGGGTGACATTGAACAAATCAAATCATTCATTCATTTTCCGTAACCACTTATCCTCTTGAGGGTCACGGGGGGGCTGGAGCCTATCCCAGCTGACACTGGGTGAGAGGCAGGGTACACCCTGGACAGGTCACCAGACTATCACAGGGCTGACACATAGAGACAGACAACCATTCACACTCACATTCACACCTACGGACAATTTAGAGTCACCAATTAACCTACATGTCTTTGGACTGTGGGAGGAAGCTGGAGTACCTGGAGGAAACCCACACTGACATGAGGAAAACATGCAAACTCTGCACAGAAGGGCTCCCACACCCTGGGTGACCCTCTTGCTGTGAGGCTACAGTGCTAACCAATACACCACTGCGCCGCCAATTTTCTTTGATATCATGTATGATACCTGACTACTTGACAAATTCCATATTCAGTAATCCAATTGATGTAAATGGTTTTAAACAACAGAGTGACGTAAAGTGTGATATCGAAGTAAAACCTAAATGGGTAGCACTTTACACTGCACAAATTACAACGTAATTTCATAAAGTAAATTTAAATTTCCGGCAATAACAAGTAACAATTTCGTCATCTTAAAGTGTAATCTAATGGTTATATGCTGTTTCTGGTGATAGAAAGTAATTATTAGCATTATAACAGTTTGTCATTAATGTAGTTATCTGTGCGCTTGTTGAAAACTACTTTTTTTTTTTTTTTTTACTTCTCTCTTTGATGGAACTTCCATATTCTTGAGAACAGATGAAGTTGTGACAGTACTGTTACCCAATCAGTGTTGGTTTTGAGGGCAATTTTTTTTTTAATAGATAAATAAAAATAAATGCTGGTCTCTTCTAATAGAAAGAGAAGGCCCACCCACCTTTTGATAAAGAAAACAATGAGTTCATTAGCCTATTTTGATCTAGTTTTGTACTTTGGTGATCGTACATCATTGTTAGCTGTTGTCCAAAGGGCTCTAGTTAAGCTAACGTTAACTTCTGGAGCTTAGCTTCATTAACTTAACTGTAATGGCAGAGATAACAAAGGTTGGCAAATGTTATGCTGAATGATTCAGTGTAAAGAAGATGCAAAATGACAAGCAGATCTATTTTGACACGATACAGGACATGTTAGGTCACCCTAATCAGAGTACACATGGCTGCAAACATCAGTAGAATATTCATTTTCATCAGCCCTGTTAGCTCAGCTTAATCAGAATATTGTCTTTTTTGAAATAAGGGCAAAACCCAGAATATTTTGTGCATGTAAACATAGTCGTGTTTACAGCAGGTCTGATGGCCCTGTAGCAAAATCCACTCTTGCAACAATTCTATTTTTAGTTTAGGGATGTAGGACGTCTACAGACAGTCTGCAATCACAGAGAGAAACACTTTATAATTAACACACCCACCCACAGCAGCCAAGAGACGATTGTAAATAAAATTTCAGACTTTGAGAGCCTTATTTTAAGGAAATGAAATAAATGCTTTTAAAAACATTCCAAAGACCTGCAAATGAAAAACACAGCGGTCATGCACATCCTAAAACTATTCAAGGCAGGTGCTAGACAACAACAAAACGGCAATAAACAGTCTGAAGGAGAGCATTCAGATCAAAATGTCACTTGTTGATGTGCCAATAAATGTCAGTTGAGAGCTACAGCATGTGAACCTTTTTTGCGTGCTGATAAAGACCTCTTCAGGTAGAAGCCTATTTCACTCCACTGTTCGAATTGCTGTCACAGGAAGTGATGTGGCAGGGTTTGGCTGAAGCATCACATATAAAAGCTGGCGATTGTTTGGGTGAAGACATCGTATAGGGCATAATTTTGCTCTCAGCACACAGCAGATACATTCCTGTTCAAAATATCATCACCTGCTGTTCCAGGAGACGCAGCCAGCAGCTGAAATCCAGTCTGAGGAGGCGTTCAGGGACTTCAGTAGGTGAGAAATATACTGTCTCACTTTAATTCTTTATTTGTGCATGGAATAATAAAAGACAAAAAAAGAAAAAAAGAAAAATAACAACATAAGAAAATGTGCAGGTGGACTGAAAAAAACGTTGATTTTGTGATGAGAGAACCAGGAGTGCTAAAATGCTACTCATTTCTGGGATTTAAGACTCATTCCTGCAGCACTCTACAGAGATGCCACAGGTGGACAGTAAATAGTGGGGTACAAAAAAGCTTCACAGACACTGAGCACATATTCAGTTTATGAGCGAACATGTGTGCTTGTCTGTACAACTTGTGACACTGTCTGTAAACGTCCTTATCATGTAGCTGGAGCCATGGCAGTCAGCTGGATCATTCTGTTCTATGGCCTGGGACTGGTACCAGTACACCTTTGTATCTTTATACAACATAACATTCATATTATATGTCCACTGCAAAAACAGTGACATTGATTATTACGATGATGATGATGATGTAATTTTTCTTGTATTTACCAGGCAGCAGCTAAGCTAACGGGTGATACAGGTAAGTCACATATTTTAAATGTTTTTCATGTTAATTACTGTCAAAAGGGGGACAAAAACTTGACTCAGGCTGAGGTTGGATTCAGAGTGAGAAGATTTCAAATACCCTGTACCCTTTACACTTGTGATTTTTTGGCAGGCTAAAAAAACTCTGTGCATCTTTGCTGAGAAGGCTCTCACTCAGAATGATTTAGAAATTAATTTCAAATCTTAAGGTCAGGCACAATTTTAAATTGAAGAATTGACATTTTAAAGTAAACATGTCTCAGGTCTGTGGGACAGGAAGCAACCCTAACTGCTCCAATACATTGGTAATTATGTAAATAAGGTACTTTTGTAGTCCTGTTTTGAGCAGCATCTAATTGATTCCACATCTACAGAAAGGGATGTTGATGAAGGTCGTGACTGGGACATCTTTGACATCAATGAAGGTTTGTGGACACATTATGGTTTTTGCTTTGTTGTATAATCTGTGCATATTGCTGAGGATTTTCATCAAATGATGAAATTTTCCTGTTGCAGCGGCGGGGCTGGACCTGCTGGAGGGAGATATCGAACAGGACGATGTAAGCTGGTCTACACAGACACCAAAGACTCCAAAGGCTCCTGCTACTCTTCAGTAATCTCCATATTCAGGCCTATTTGAGTATGGCATTATATTTAATCAGGAGAGACAGATGAATGAAGTAATAATAACTGTGTGATAAGATTACAGGTGTAGAGATTACCAGATTATGTGCTGCTCAAGATTTGACAGAAGACTATCCAGTACGGAGTCCAGATGCTGATGAATCTGAGAACACTAGGCTGTGATGGAGAGGTGGAGGTTGCATACCACTGTAGTAAGAAAGAACTGCAGGCAGGAAGAGAGGCATGTTTAAAACAAGAAGCAGAGACTGTGTGTTGCTGTGCTGTTGGTTCACTGTGATCAGCTGGCAGACAGGCAGAGTGAATGGCTAATGGTACAAGACATAAATTACAGATCTTATGCAAAAGCTTAGCAGACTTCTACCCAAACAAACACTGACATGAAGATTCTCTCAGCTATATCCAAGACATATCTCAGGACTACAAGGTAATCTGCTAGTTTATTGTAACAGCTTGGTCTGGTCTTATTGTTCCATTTTGTTTGTCGTCTTTTTGCCTAACTGTTTTTATGGTAATGCTGCTAAATAAGGGAATCAGTTGCCTGCTTAGTGAAGACTTTTAGTGCACGTTTCTCTAATATTATAGTATGTTGTAAAGTATTAATTTCATTGACAAAAACTGTGTGCTGCTGGATGCAATTATCCTGAAAATGGAAATTCACCACAATCGTGTATTGTGATCCACAGTAAAATCATATATCGTCCCGTCCCTTGGGATAATAATTTATCCACAAAAATATGTTTTTCTGTCCTCAAAATGCCCCATTGTGCACTCGGAATTAAGACACTAACTTCCATATTTGAGCAGTATATGCAGGAAATAAAGCTGGGTGATTTGAACAGCATTAATGCGATGATAAATCATTGAATAATTAAAATGATGCTGGTGTAGAGATGAGAGAGAGAGAGAACACAACTTTATCAGTCTCAGGTCTCATTTTTAAGTGATTGTTTGGAAAGACACAGTAATAATCAAGGAACGCAAACAATTCCAAAACACCAGGTTACAGTTCGATCACTAAAGTGAGTTCGCCCTGTTTTTATTCATCTCTATTTGTATATGTGTTGTTCTCTTCATTCCAATCAGGCATTCAGAAACTCCAGAATAGGTGACGAGTATCGCTGGCCAACAACCATTCCCTACTACCTAGAGGACAGTCTGGGTAAGACACCGCATTACAATGGAAACTTGCATTCACTGTACTCATCATGTTATCATGGATATGCACCAAATGAGGAAGCTTTTTGTTTCTTTGTGTTACACTTTGTAATATGTAGAGATCAATGCAAAGGGAGTGATCCTGAAGGCATTTGACCAGTACAGACTGAAGACCTGCATTGACTTCACACCACGGAAAAAAGAGGAGAACTACATCTCTGTGTACAAAGGTGGCGGGTGAGCTGCTCTGTTCAGTTCATATAATCTGTGGTATTGAACACAACTGTGTTAGTGCGTATTCAAACTGTCCTCCCCACAAAAAGGCCGAATAGGTCGTCTGTGCAAGCAGACCACATCTCTGTTTACTGTTAGGTAGCGACCTCTGGTGGCTGAAGTAATTATGACAGAAGCAAAGGGCCCAGTTGTTAAGAAAATATCATTTGGATTAGAATGATCCAGATATGGAAATCCAATGTTTTGCTATCCATGTGATTGGATTGCCGTGATCCAGATACAAACTTACCAAATTCGTCACACTAACTGTTCAACAAATCACAAAACATGTGCAAAATATGAATAAATGTGGTTCTTTTCTGCTGGGATCAGAATGATCCCTATTTTTTTGGATCAAAGGTATCCCAGTCCTATTAAGAATGAAGGTTTGATCCATATCAAAACCAAGAGTGGACTGCGTGATCTAATCCGATTTCAGTAACCTTTTTTTTCCCTTTTGAACAACCCAGTTTCAAGATTTGATCCAATCTGATAGCAGAAGTCTGATCAGATTGCTTTTGAACAACTGGGCCCTGGTGACGCAGTCAAAGATGTCCTGTAACAGTGGTTCTCAACCAGAGGTTGTTCAGGGAGTTTCAGGGGGTGTCCAGAAAAATGAAGATGTAGTTTATTTTCATTATTTAATTCTCTGTAGAATTGAGCTCACTGTTAGTAAGACTCATAGGAGGAATTCTGATCAGGGGCGTTTGTAGGCTTTGAGGACATGTGGTGCTTAGCACACCGGACCTCTGTAGGGGGGTCCGAGGAGAACCTTCTTCGGGAATATTTCTTAATGAACAAGCTCTTATTTATCCTTAAACCAGTTTATTTTCCAGATTAATTATGAATTAGTTGACAGTGAATGATACTGAGTAGCAACAGAATACTTTGCAACTACTATCATTAAAATTAAAACATTTTGAGGAACATGTACTTCAGTATTTACATTTTATTCTACTTCAGGCCCTGATCATACAGAGCATGTTTTCTCAGCTGGAGGCGGCTTTTTGTAATTGTTTTAATGACAATGAAGCTCTTTGCTCGCTGTATTTGTGTTGCTACGCTCCTAGTGTTTCTGAGCTCTGGGCACCTGGCATTTTTGTTGGCACACTCTGAACTCCTGTTGAAAAAACTTAAACTCAGAAGAGAAAAGCGCCTCATGTCATCTCCACTTTTTTCCCATTGTCCAGTTGGATGATTTGAGAGGCGGGCCTTCTGTGGTGGTCAGGACAACAAGTTTACAGTTGGTTAACAATGGAGGAGGAGGAACTGCGTTTGCGAAGTGTTTTCTTTTATGTTTTTTTTTTACTATTGGCATTCAATTATTGAAAGAAAAGGCAGTGCGGTACGTCTTGCGTTTTGCAACCTGCTAAACTCTGTCTGTGTGATCGGAGCCTCATAATTCTACTCCTCCACATCTCAGAGGGAAACACTGTACTTTTTACTGCACTACATTTATTGCCTGTTTGGGTTATTTTGAAGACTCAGATTATTAATACAAAATATAACTAATACAACTAATAAATGATGATGTTAAGCCAGATAACCAAAAGATATCATGAGAAAGTTGAACTTGTATAGTAGTTCAGGCCTCAGGACTGCCATATAAAAACAGGAACTGTTTGCTTTTAACAGCTCTTTATAGGGTGATAAGAGCCCATGTCAGTGTTTCAACACTTTGATCTACTGTCTCCAATTGACCCTTTGCTCTGCCTTCAAATGCAGACCAAAAATTAGAGAATATTCCTTCAAGGAGTTGGTGAAAGGCGGGCTCTGTGACAGCTGGACGGTCCATCACAAAGGTGCAGGACTTTGCAAAGGGTCATTTGGCTAAAACAAAAAATTTCAACAAAAACCTAATGGGAGTGCAGTTTTAAATTCCAGTATAATGGACCGTTAGATTAGGTTTCTGCACAAATATCAATCCTCTGATATTGAGGCCTCTGAATGTTGACCTTAAAAGACGACTCAGTATAAAGTGCATCTCGCTTTCCCTCTCTGTATAGATGTTCCTCCTCCGTGGGGAACCAGCGTAAGGGGAAGCAGCAGCTGTCCATTGGTGAAAGGTGTGACACACTAGGAATCGTTGAGCATGAGTTTCTGCATGCTCTGGGCTTCTGGCACGAGCAGTCCAGAGCTGACCGAGATGATTACGTCAACATCAAATGGAAAAACATCAAAACTAGTAACACTGATCAGTAAAAACTTATGTTGTAACTTCATAAAATAAATGAAAATGTTTATTATCACCTGTGTTTTTCTCCTAATGCATGCCTGCTATCTGAAAACATTTCTACAGTAGTGAGCAGTTGCAAAACTGTTGTTCCATCAATCATTGTTAAAAACAAAAACTGCATTCCCTAGATCATACACACAACTTCAAGAAATACGATGACACAAAGTCCAGTGCTCTTGGTGTTCCCTAAGACTACGGCTCTGTAATGCACTACAGCAAGAAAAACTTCAGCAAAAACTCTGAGCCCACCATCGTCACCAAGATCCCCCAGTTCATGGATGTGATCGGTCAGAGGATAGGGATCAGCGCTAATGACCTTACCAAGCTCAACCGTCTCTACAACTGCAGTAAGTCATGTCAACCTGTCATTGTGTCCATTACACAATTAATGAGAAAATCACCTGCACATTGAGTGTCGGAACGATCAATACACTAAATCACCTCATAAAATAAAATATATTTTAATCCCACAGAGGTACAAGACAAGAGTCAGAGTTTATCTAGCAGGAGGTGATGCAAAAATATATTGATAATCTTTGGCAATAACCTCTAATTCAGACCAGATGACCTCAGTGCTCATTTAATAATCATGTGGCCATAGCCTTTATTATCCAGAATGTTTTCAGGTCTCAGATCAGCACACAGTCTTTCTGCTGAGGGTTGCCAGCTCTTTTCTGTTCCATGTTTTCTTTTGGGTTCAGGTGCACTTCTGCTGTGAGATGATGTCACCATATTTGTGTGATGGCACTTTTGTTCTGTACCTGCATAATCCCCCCATCAGTTATGAAGCACTGCACTGACGCATCTTGGTGAAATTCTGAGTGTTTCCTCTCCACAGCCAAATCTTCTACCTTTGTGGACAGCTGTGACTTTGAAGAGGACAACATTTGTGGGATGATTCAGGGTCCCGGCAATGCAAAATGGGAACGACTCACTAGTGCTCGTGGAGGGCCTCAGACTGACTTCTCCAACATGGGACAATGCAAAGGTGACAGTCAATCATAACAAATGCATGCTATAGAGTTGAACCTTTTTTAATGTCCTGGATGTTCCTTTTACAATCTACTGCAGACTCTGACAAAGCATTCTCATAGAACGGTTCCTATGATATCATACTAATTAACGCCCCATTAATGACGTTACGAAGTCCTAAACATACAGTCACATGCTTAATGTAAAGTCATGGAGGTTAGGTTTAGGCAAGTAAAGGCTATCCACAAAATTTGAGCCCCTCATAGTGCAGGCAGTGGGACCTGAAGGAGACTTAAATAAACTGACAATGATAAAGTTGGACTAGTCCCATAAAAAGTAATATGAGGCCCAACATTACTCACTGTTGTCTCCTCCTGCCCTCAGGAAAAGGCTACTTCATGCACTTCAACACAGCCTCTGCTAAATCTGGTGCCCGTGCTCTACTGGAGAGTCGCTGGTTTTACCCCAAACCTGGAGCCCAGTGTCTGCAGTTCTTCCTCTATAACAGCGGGGCAGCTGATGATGTTCTCAATATCAAGGTGCGACAGTATGACAAGGCCAACCCCAGCGGTAAACTGAAGCTCTTCAAGAGAATTTCAGGTAACAAATGAAATATTGCATGTTGTGTGATTTATACAGTGTTGTTATAATTAAAGCCTCCATCTCTCATTTTTCAACAACATCCCTTAAGAATGTAATCAGCCCATTAAATGACCGTTATCAGGTGTTGTCACTACCATTAAAATGCTCCAGACAGAGTAAAGTGCATCTACCAGAAGGTAAGAACATGCACATCCACTGCTGTGAAAAAGTTACAGCTGGAGTTCTCAATCTCAAGCCGAGCCAAATGGGTTGGCTAAAAATGTGCGCTGATTGGCCAGGTTGGGCAGGACTCAGGCTGTGGAAAAGACACACATTTATTTATGTATTTATTTATTTAATTTAGAGCAGGGAGCTTCTCTAGCGTGGAAATACAGTGTGGAGAGTTGGTGATCCACTGAGCTGGTCCATTTTCCATTGGAGACACGCATGACTTTTAGTGGTCCAGTTTAGTCAAGTCTGGGCTCAGTATTTTATGTGATAATCTCAGACAGGCTGAGCTGGGGCTTCGGCTCACATGGGTTGGTACAGTTTGGGTTGTAATTTTTTTCGGCCTGTTGAGAACTCAGCTACTCTCTACTTTCACTTTCGTTTGGTTTAGGCACTAAAACTACATGGTCAGGGATAGGAAGAGATCACGGTTTGGGTTAGAATAAGTACANTAGTGCTTTTTGGGGTCCAGTTTAGTCAAGTCTGGGCTCAGTATTTTATGTAATAATCTCAGACAGGATGAGTTGGGGCTTCAGCTCACATGGGTTGGTACAGTTTGGGATGTAATTTCTTTGGCCTGTTGAGAACTCTACTACTCTCTACTTTCACTTTTGTTTGGTTTAGGCACTAAAACTACACGGTCAGGGATAGGAACAGATCACAGTTTGGGTTAGAATAAGTACGGAATTCTTAGCAGGACTAGGTGTTACAATCCCTAATGATTCAGTTCGATGCTTTACCTGAGTGGGTTGAGAGAGAGATGTCCTCTGGGTTGGGTTGAGCTTGATGATGACTACTTAGTGATGTTTCTTCCCATGCAGCACATCTTCAGTTGTGTACCTCAGCTTCACTGGGTGTTTCGGCCATTTATCACAAGACACCCTCAGCTGAGGCAGGCCCACCACAGGCTGATCAGACCTGGGTGTGTGCTGCATGGGACTAAGTGGTCATTTAACTCCCCACGCTGTCTCCTTTCTTCTAAGCCACAGCCAGTGACTGCTCTTCTCTGCAGCTGTGGCGAGCTCTTTGATGGTCTTCCTCAAGGTCTGCCCTCTTATGCCACCTTCCTTCAGGAGCCTTGCTGTAGAGCTGGCAACAAAGCCCCTGCAGCCCACCTCTACTGGGCGTACCTTCATGCTCCAGCCACGATCTTCTGCCTCAGCTGCGAGATTGGCATAGTGCAGCTTTTTCCTTTCATGAGCCTCGTCGATGGCATCTTCCCAAGGGACCGTCAGCTCAATGATGAAGACACGGCAGCAGAACTTTGACCAGAGCACGAGATCTGGCCGCAGGTTGGTCACTGCAATCTCTGGGGGGAAGGTGATTTTCATGCTTAGGTCGACGCGCATTTCCCAGTCCCTGGCTGCATTTAGTGGGCTTGGGTCTGACATGGAGGCGTTGGTCCGTTTTTTCTCCCCTTACTGGATGAAGGCTGATGTTCGTGGGAAGGTAGTCTGAGCCGATTGCAGGATGGCATTTGCTGTGGTTCTCCTGTGCTCAAATGCAGAAGCTAGGCACTTCAGCACTTGGTTGTGCTGCCAGGTGTACCTTCCTTGGGTCAGACAGATCTTACAGCCCACTAAGGTATGTTTCAAGGTTGCTGGGGCAGCGCACAGGAGACATGCTGGGTCTTCTCCAAACCAGAGATGTAAGTTTGCTGGAGAGGGAAGAACATCATAAGTAGCCTTGATGATGAAACTTAGCCTGTTGGACTCCATATTCCACAGCTCGCTCCAGGTGATTTTCCTCCTCTCTATGCCGTCCCACCTCATCCACCGGCCTTGCTGTGCCTGGGAGACTGCTCTGGCACATCTGGCTGCTTCCTCCTGATTTCGCACTTCCGCCACCACCATTTTCCTCCGTTCGACTGGAGTAGCCATCTGCCATGTGGGTGTTGTTGTTCCCAGTCCGAACCCTCCTCTGCCATGCTGGACGTGACCCACAATGTCCCGGTGTTTGAGGGCAGCCTGTGCGTCCGCCACTGCAGCCTGTGGCTTCCACTTCCTCCCTGTTGCCAGGGTGGGAGCAATGCCTCGCACCAGAGGGTCTCAGGACTCCGACAGTGTCATCTCCAGCCGTACTTTAGCACATTTGTATTCCTCCACCAAGCTTCACATCGGCAGGGAGAGGGCTTCATTTCCGTATAACCCCACACTGCTGAGGCACCCTGGCAATCCAAGCCACTTCCTCAGTTGAGCATTCACCAGCCTCTCCAGGCGCTTAACATGGAATAATGTCACCTCATAGATTGTAATGGGCCACATGAGACGGGGCAGGAAGCCGAACTGGAAACACCACACCTTCAGTTTCCCTGGGAGAGCAGTGCGGTTGATTTGGTTGAGGCCATGTATTGCATCTTGCCTAAGTTGTTCCACCTGTTCCACATCCTTGAGGGCTGCGTTATACCAGCGTCCAAGACTTTTGATGGGTTTCTCCAGGATAGTTGGTATTGGCTCCCCACCGATGTAGAACCTCTCATTGGTGAGTTGGCCTTTAATGAGGGAGATGCTGCGGGATTTGCAGGACTTGATCTCCATTCGAGCCCAGCTGATGTTTTCCTGGAGCTTACTGAGCAGACGTTTGGTGCATGGCTTTGTTGTTGTTATGGTCGTCATATCGTCCATATATGCCCTGACTGGGGGAAGATGCAGCCCATTCTCCAAACGTTCTCCTCCAACCACCCACCGTGAGGCCCGGATAATCAACTCCATTGCCATGGCGAAAGCCAAGGGAGAAATAGTGCAGCCGGCCATTATTCCAGTCTCCAGATGTTGCCAGGCGGTGGTGCAGTCCTGCGTTGAGATGCAGAACTGGAGATCTTGGAAGTATGCCTTGACCAGGCAGGTAGATAGCAGAAACGCTGCCAAAAATGATGTTATATAAGGAGCTAGAAAGTCCACAGAGGTGGGTGGGAGGTGTGGTGGATTGGGTCCCACAAACCCCAGACTTTCACCCAGGAAGCCAGTGTTTGCATCTCGTATGAATGTAGAGCCAAACCATCAGGTTTTTTTCTAAATCTGACTGTGTGTGCTTTTGTTGACATCCTGGCGTTAGTTGGGCGTCCCACAATGTCAGCAGCAGACACATAAGGACACCTAGCCCATAATATACTTAAAATACAAAGTAACTGTATTTTGTTACAGTTTTAAGAGCTGCCATTCTGAATACAGCTATTGTCTTGAAGGGATTACTTTTTGTTCCTGTTTTATGGCATAATTCTCCGGCCAAACTACCACAAATCTGTGCCCCTGACAACTGATAATGGACATTAAATGGGCTGATAACATTAAAAGCAAGGGTCAACATCAAAAACCAAAT